CCCCAAAACCCCAAAACCCCAAAACCCCTAGTAGTGAATCTGATGGAAAGATAGTAAAATGCTTATTATGAAATTCATAGCTCTATAAATTAGATTCAATTTAAGTGAAAACAAAAACAAAAACTACAATAATGGAAAGCTCTAACCCAACAAAATAAAAGAAATTCGTGATAAGTACAGCAGATTCCAGATACATAAAGCCTCTTCTTCAAAAACTTATTGAGGAGAATGAGTCTAAAGGCTGGAAAGAGACCTTATCAAAAGAAAAGTTTGATTTGAAATGGGTATCTGCAGGGATCACTGATGAAGAATGTAAGACAGACTCCATTTTTATTCAAGAGTATCTTTATAGTGCTTAAGATATTAAGTGAAAAAAAGCAAATGGCAAACAGATTCCCAGGAATTTAGGGACTTGCTCATAAAGACATGTATATTAGCTTAATGAAAATTGGCTTGACTCTTGATGAGGCTCTTTATGATTTCGTCCCTACCTAGTTTAACTTTCCTCAAGATGCAAATAAATTCAATGAGTATCATAAAACTCATTAGAACTAAGTTTTCATTGCAAAGCCAGTTGCATCTGCTGAAGGAAATAGCATTGTTCTATTTTAATCGTAAATTATTGAATATTACAAGGTAATATGTTAGGCTTTCAGAGATTCCAACTTAACTCGGAGCCGAAATGGTTGTTTAAAGATACATTCATAATCCATTGCTTCTAGATGGATACAAGTTTGATCTTAGAGTGTATGTAGTCATAACAAGAACATCACCTTTATAAGCTTTTGTTTGCAATGAAGGGCTTGCTAGATTTTGCACAGTAATAATCAATCCATTGTTAATAAGTTTAGGAAAAATATGAGAAACCAACAAGAGAAAACTTTAAAAAATTCTTTATGCATTTGACTAACTATTCAATCAACAAACATCATGAGGAATATGTTGAATCTGATGATATTATGATGCCAAATAATGCTTCCAAGAGAACTTTAACTTCTCTTTACCTTACTTTACAACAATAGGGTATTAATGCTTAAACTATTAAGGATAATATAAGTCGTACTTGCGCGAGAGCATTTTCAGTCTATGGTCCGATGATTGAACATGGAATCATTGAAGCAAATAATTTGAAGCCTATTAATGGGAAATACTTTCAGATTTTAGGTTTTGACTTGCTTATTGATGAGAATTTGAATGCCCATTTATTGGAAATAAATGACCATCCCTCTCTTAACATCTTCCTAGAGAAGGATTACATGGGAGGAGGTATGGGTAAAAGTCTCTCGACTGTGGACTTATATGTCAAGAAAACAATAGTCGGTGACACTATCAAGCTGACAAAGAAATCTGATGAGGCATTGAATGAGACAACTTAGTTTAGATCGCTGAATAGAATTCTTCCATTAGAGGAGCCTGAGGCAGCAGAAGTTTAGGAGACGATTAATAAATTTAGGGAATTATATTACTAGTTAGCCCCTGTAAAGTCCAAGGTGAACATGAGTTCCTCGAACTTTGAAAAAATACTCACAAAATCTGAACTTAAATTTGACTAGCTTGGAATCTCAAATATCGATCTTAGTTTATTATTTTAAAAGCAAAGTGGGGGTAAGAAGTCTATAAATTTCTAAGAGTTCTTCTGGCTAATGATTGGCCTCAAAGATATGCTTGAAAAGAAAAGAATAATTGAGTCGGAGCAGATCAGTGTGTTTATTAATAGAATATTAAAATGATTGGGATCATAATAAGTGCTTATGCTTTTATATTAATTATAATTAAAATTTTATATAATGTTGAAGCGAAAAATCTTAATCATTGTAGCATTTTGTTTACCATTGATTGTTCTTAGCAATTCTCAACTTTAAGCTGAGAGAAGCTTAGAATAAAAATGGTAAGGATCTTCAGATGAAGCTTCAGTCGAAAATATGAATGAAAGAGATCTCTCAATTAGAGACATATTCGGTAAAAAAAGTTATAGATTAATCAGATTATTAGGGCATATATTGAACTTTTTGGATTTTGATCATAAAAATGATAAAAATAAAAATGGATGGAAACTGTTCACCTCTACTAAATAATCTGACAAGCTCAATCAATTCATTAAGTCTACAAGCGACAAGTCGAAGTGGCAGCAAGTGCTGGGATGGAATCCAGATTACGATGATGATATCCTCGACTTTTTGGATTTGGATGAGAATAGCAATTACCAGTCAGATGATGATTATGAGAAGCATTCTAAGAAGTAAAAAAAGAAGCAAGCAAAAAAGTAGGCGCCTTAGTTAATAGACATTAAGTATAACTGGGACTATGATGGGTAGACAGACTACTGGAGTGAACATCAAAAACTCTTCTAATCTGATAATTTAGAAGATTGCAAAAATTTCAACAAAGATTAGACCTTATCTATTTCAACCATTGCTCAAAAGATTTTCGATCGAGCAAAGAAACTAGCTTTCGACTGCAAATTAGACGATATTATCCTGGGCGGATTTGGCAAGATAAGGATTCTGAAGGCCGATGATGAAGATGAGAAAACCTATGAGGACTGCCCAGATCCTTACTTCAAAAATTCAAAGAAAGTTTGCTAATCTTGTCCAACTGGATGTGATAGATGCAAATAACTTGATTTCTGCCAAAAATGCGAAGGCAACTTTACTTTGATTTATGGTAAAGATTTTGGATATTGCTTCCCTGATTGTCCAAAGGAGTATTACATTAGGACTAAGTATGACAATCAAGAGAGCTATCTCAATAAAAATTAGATATCAAGCAAGTACAAATCCTATACCCCAACAATGATGGTAAGTTAATGCGTGAAGTGCCCCTTCGGTTGTGGAGACTGTCTCTTTGATGAAATTACCTATCAACCCTTTTGTTATTCCTGCCTTAAAGGATTCTAATTCAATCAGTCAACTGGCTATTGCGATGTAATTCCCTGTAAAGCTGGCTAGTATCGTCCTAAGCCTCTTAATAGCACTGTCTATGTTTCCTTGGATACAAATTATGATGATTACTTATGTTAAGGTAAGCTTATTTCAACTATATATTAACTATGCTTTAGCTTGCACTCCTGGATGCATAAACTGCTAAAACAATACTTCTTGTAATCAATGTGATAACCACTTTTTACTCTACTAGAAGAAGAATACATACAATAGTTCTTGTATAGGTAAGGTTTAAAATTCTTAATATTAAATATTTTATAGAATGCCAACCATACTGTAAAACTTGCAACTACATTAGTACTACTCAAACTTCAAATGCTACTAAATGCTTTACTTGCATAGATAAGTTCTTCTTGAACAAGACAGATCAGTGTGAGCTGAATAGAACCTGTGCCAAAGGTCAGTGGTTTAATGATGTGACACTTTAATGCTAGCAATGCCCCACAGATTGTCTAACTTGCTAGCAAGGCATAAAAAACGGGACAGTTGTCTGTACTAGTTGTACTAACCAAACTGAGCTCAACTCAAATACATCTCTATGCCAGGATAGGTGCAATTACTCTTCAAACTTTTACTAATTCAGCAGCAAAACCTGTGTCAAATGCCCAGATGGTAAATATCCAGACATAAGCAGCCAAGTTTGCAGCAACTGCCCTAACTACTGCCCCACATGCTCATGGAATAAGAAGGTGCCGCAAGTTGAATGTGATACTTGCACTAATGAAAGTTACTATGATAAGAGTTATAAGAGGTGTAGAGTCAATTGCAATGAGACATCCTATTTCAACTATTTCTATGGATAATGTATTGATTGTGGAAAAGGAAAGTTCCTCAATATCACTTCTTCAACATGCTAAGTGTGCCCAGCAAACTGCACAAGTTGTATTTACAGTAAGTCTAGCAAGAGAGTAGAATGTGACAGCTGCAATGGAACTAATGTTATTGATTATTCAACTAAGAGATGCAGAAAATAATGTCCAGCTTCACAATATTACGAGTGGGCTAATGACACCTGTAGGAATTGCTCATCTGGAACTTATATCAACAAGACTACTCAAACTTGCAACTCTTGTCCCTCTGGATGTAAAGCATGCTTATACAATGAAACTTCTCTCAGAGTAGAGTGCAGCACATGTGATACTTTTAAAGTTATAGATGCAGATAGAAAGTAGTGCAGACCTTAGTGTTATAATGGTCAAAATTATTATTGGGACGTAGGCCAATGCAGATACTGTCCACCATTCTTTTTATAGAACTCTTAAACAAAGAAATGTGAAGAGTGTCCTTTTGGCTGTGTTGACTGTTTCCCTTTCAAATCTGGAAAATATTGCACTAATTGTGACACTGACATGATCCTCTCTTTCCCTGAGTGGAAATGTAAGCTGAAATGTGAAAATGAAACTGTATTCTCATATGAAACAAATAAATGCGAAAGATGTCCCGCTGGCTAGTATTATGATAGCTTTTACAATGGCTGCAAAGCATGTACTTCCAACTGCTTGTCTTGCTCTAAAGCATTTTGGTACAGCTCTCAACCAGATTGCAGTCTTTGTAAGACAGGCTATGTCTTAGACAAAGATAAATAACAGTGTAAGCCTGTCTGCCCAGCTAATTACTAATATTCATGGGCAAACTCTTCTTGTGTACCTTGTGGAAGTGGAAAATACTACAACAGCACCAGTTAATCATGCTAAATCTGTAGTTCTGAATGTAAAGAATGTATAATGGACTCAAATCTTAATAAAGTTAATTGTACCTCCTGCATTAGTGGAATTCTTGACAGCACCTATGGAAAATGCAGACCTAATTGTGATATTAATTCATATTATGATTGGACTTCTAGTTCTTGCTAGCAATGTCCATCTGCTAAATTTTATGAAAATGTTACTTAAACATGCTAAAATTGCCCAGACAACTGTTCTGCATGTAAAAAGAATCCTGAAACAGAAAAAGTGCAATGTTAAGAATGCTAGAATAACTGGGTGCTGGATGAGACTTACCAACTTTGTAAACCAATCTGCCCTAACAATTACAATTATGATTTTGGCCTGAAAAAATGCATGAACTGCACACAAGGCTAATACTTCTCCTCCTAAAAGTAGCAATGCTTAAGCTGTCCCTCATTCTGTGATTCTTGTGATTACAATACTACTTCAAAGGCTACTTAGTGCGCTACTTGCTAGTCTGGGTCATTCTTAGATCAAGCGAAGAAATTGTGCAGACCTACTTGCAACACTACCAGCTATTTTGATTGGACTTCAATGAAATGCATCAATTGTAATTCAGACCAATATTTGAATAAAGCTTCAGAGAAGTGTACAAATTGCCCTTCTAACTGCTCAACTTGCTCATTTAATAGCTAAACTAATGTTGTAGAATGTTAATCTTGTAAGAGTAGTTATGTCTTAGACCAAGAGAGGCTAACTTGCAGAGTTAATTGTAACTCAACCTCATTTTATGATTGGAATACATAGCAATGCAAAAATTGCCTTGCTAATGAATTCTTAAATGCAGATATTTAAAGATGCCAAAGCTGTCCTACTGGATGTGCAAGCTGTTCCGAAAACCAGCAAGCCAAATCTATCACATGTTAAACATGTGCTGGTGGATATAATCTCGACCCATCAAAGAATCTCTGTAGACTAAACTGCAATTCTTCAGCATATTTCGATTGGGATCAGAATTAATGTGTGAATTGTCAAAGTAATTAGTACCTTGATGCATCGTCTTAAATTTGCAAGGCTTGTACAACAAATTGTACAAGTTGCAAATAGCAATCAGATGGAAAAATTGCTTGCCAATCATGCTCCTCAGGAAGTCAATTAGATTCTAGCAATAATTAATGCAGAGTATCATGCAACTCAAATTAGTACTATAATACCAATACAAAGCAATGTGCGTCTTGCTCTGTTGGCTAATGGCTTGATACTGATTTGTAGCAATGTTAATCTTGTCCATAGGGGTGCTATTTATGCGCAACTAATTCCTCTAATTTGCCTGAATGTACCAATTGTCTATCTGGACTAATATTAGATTCATAGATGAAAAGATGCAGAAAATAATGCACAATTGGGTAATATTATGATTGGATTGCTTAGGATTGCTTAGCCTGCTCAAGTGGCTGCAATACCTGTTCTAGTTCTAGTCAATGTACAGAATGCTAAGAGCAATTCAATCTTGTCTCAGAGGTATGCTCTTATAAATGTACTTCATCATAAGTCTGGAATTCTAACACCAAAAAATGCGACAACCTAGTTTCAGGTGCAATCAGAGTAATACCCTCAGCTACTACCATGATAAAATGCAGAAACTATACTGTCACGGTAAGTCTAACATCTGGATTAGTTGCCAGCTCCTTGAGTTCAGTCTAATGGTCTTATACTAATGACCTAAAAAAAGCTGGTGATTATGTTACTCAGTTTGAGTAGTATCTTTCATCAGCCACCTCTTCAAAATCTTTGACACTAACTTTGCCCAATACCTTCACAGAAACTGTTACTTCTCAATTTAATGTCACAATCTCAGTCACAGTAACTGGATAGAATGGCTCAACTGGAACCAATACGACTAAATTCGTTATCTTTCCATTTTAGCTCACATCAATTGTTGGCTATAGTACCAGCTATACCATAGATGGCAGCATTGGCATATAGATTCCAACCTAGTTCTATTATAGTGAGTGCTAGGCCAAAGGACCTTTTGATATTCCTTCAACAATAAATATTGGATGTATGCTTTATGATAGCAAGAGTAACTATATAAAGGATTTGAGTAAATGCTTGATCAAGCCATCAGATACAACTAATGGTCTCACTTACTCTGTAAAATATTACTACCTTCCGCATGCCTATCAATCAGCCTTAAGAGATACTATCACAATAAACACTATAGTTTAACAGTCGTCGTGTTCTATCGCGGGATCTAGTTTAATTACTGTTACTTAATCTGATACTCTATCATTTACAGTAACTGTATAAAATCAACGCAGTTCATTTGTGTACAAGTGGTAGTGCCAGCCACTAACAGCTGGAGCTGTTTGTGGCATTCAATCAACTACACAAAATAATGGAGATTTAAGCATCCCTGCTTCAGCTTTTACAGCAAATGCACGATATTTATTCACTTTGACTATCACAGATAATTCAGTTAATTAAGCAACTTGCTCTGCCAATGTCTAAGTTGACCCTGGTAATGTTTAGTCAATGGTCAAACTCTTCTCTTCTGTATCTCCATCATCTAGTGATACTGAAGCTGTAACCAATAGCTATATTGATCCAAGTGTAGACAATAACATCTATTGTTAGGCCGATGGAACAGCAAATTCAATTAAATATTCAATTGTTCTAAATAAAGTGTTGGCTAATGAATCAAGGCAAAAAGTTACATCTGGCATAAAAATATCAGGAAATATTTTAGTAATCTAAAAGAACTCCTTAATGACAGATTCGTATTATGAGGTTAACTGTACAGCGACTGTGTCTGGCAAAGTCAAAACGGCATATCAGGCTTTCAATACTATATCAATTCTTGATTCAATCTTAGACTTTAGCATCACTCCCACTACAGGTACTAGTCTCGTAACTACCTATGAACTTTAAATTACTAAACAGAAGGGAGATACTTTGTGGTGCTTATTTGGCTATAATTTAAGTGAATCAGTAAAGTACTTAGAATCAGTTGGTTAGAAGTCATTTACAGATCAAAAATAGGTTTTGAGAACCACTCTATAAAGTAATTTAAACAATTAACTTAATTATATTTATAGGACAAGGAGCATTCAATAATCACAAGATGGTTGTTAAGTGTAGCAATTCAGTTGGTCAATATGCATTAGCCTATTATGATATAGTAATTAAGAAGCAAGGAAATGGTCTTGGCGTATCTAAATTCGTATCAAGCAGTCAAGCTATTGTAACTACTAATAATGTAGTCTTTGAAGAGATACAAGACTCTTTCCAGCAGTACTCATAGTTAGGAGAAGGTTAGCTATTAGTAAGTGAGAGAGTTGAGTTCTAAGAAAATCTCCTTTAACAATTGTAAAAGATTGTAGGAAAGCTGACTATGAAATAAATAGTGCAAGCAGTACATATAATAACAGACATATGGAATGAAATAAAGGGCGAAACTGCATTACCCTAGTTCCAATCCTTGGTAAAGGATCTTGTCTAAACATGCATAAACTTATTGAATGAATCACTTGAAGACAACTAAGTTAGAGTCCTTGATTAAGATGATTTTCTGCCTATTATTGGAATATTTGATGAGATCTTAAGCAACTATAAATAGATATGCGATAGTGCTCAGCTTATATAGCCCATACTGTAATCTATCTCTATGGGAGCAGTAAGAATAACTTCAAACCTACTTCCAGACACAGAATAATTCAAGGCTTCAGGATAAAACTTTGCTATTTATGTTGCTAAAAAGAGCAACAATCAGCTTTTAATCTAAAAGAATAACAAATCTGCTGAAAATCTATATGCTTTCTAAGTGAAGAATCTATCATTAGATTCAGATTAAAGACCATTTATTATGCAAATGCCTTACAACTTGGCAATGACTTAGTACGACTATACAATTCTCACATTTATTGTGTTTAATAAGAATCTAAACTATAATACTCTTGGACAATCCTACATGAGTGATATCATTTCAGTTAATGCATTCTACTCTGGTTCCCCTATTTCTATTGGACAAATCTACTAATTAGGAGAAATAGTAGTTGAAAATCTAGCAGATCCTATAAATCTATTCATGCCTTATAAATTAGATAGTGATGACGATTTAGAACAAGCACAATGTGGCTATCTAAATGAGACTAAAAAGGAATGGATTCCATTAAATTGTGTAGAACATGATAAGATTCAAACATAAACTATTTTAGGTGATGATAGTAGTAGTTACAAGATATGCTGTTCAACCCATTTAACAATGTTTGGAGTTATTCATGATAGAGAATATATAGCTTTACAATAAAAGGCTTTCAGATAGAGAATCTATTCACTGATTCCTTCATTCCTGCTTTATTTCGCCTTTGGCCTAAGTGTGATCCTTGCTAAGAAAAGAGCATTGAAGTAGAATAGTGCTAAAAAAGCCCAAACTGAGCAAGAAAAAGATAGTGAATCTTAAACTAATAGAACACTTTCAAGGTCTGATTGTATATCTAAATCTAACTCAGGTAGAGGTTAAGTTACTTCTCCTAATAATAAACTCAATGATCAATCAGCTATCAATCACACCTAGAACGATTTAGATATAAATGATAAAATTTTGTAAGATTCTATAGACAATAGAAAACCTGGTAAGGAACCTCTAAAATAAAAATTATAAGGCCCAACAGCAGTAAGTAGCATTGATGAGATCAAGGGCTGCAAATGCTTATACAGATACAAAAAACATAGTAAAATAAACAAAATGTTCTTTGATCCTACTCATGATTAGAATATCTTCATCTCTATATTTGACAAAATAGTTTTGACTAATCTACTCCTTCTAGCATATACTCATACTATAATAATCGCATACTACGTAAGCTTATTTCTACAACTAATATATCTATAGGCTAAATCCCTTGATATCATACTGATATCATCATATTTGATACAATTGCTCTTGACTATATTGTTTAAATAATGCCAAGGACTTATCAAGGATGCTACAGCGATAATACATGCATGCTTTGCATTAAACTTGCTATTTGCTTTTGTCCAATGCATTATTCTAGCACGAGTTTCTGATAATTTAACAGAGACTAATTTCAGATATTGGGCTCTTAGCTCAACGCTTAGCTTATTTATTAGTTGCACAGTGGAAGACTTCTTCTTCATTCCACTATATTATAGAGTTACAAAAATATTAGCCAGGAAGCTTAAGATATGAACTTAAGAAAATAAAATAACAAATACTCTAAAATCAATTTTTATTTAATTTTTATCTCCTACTTTGATTATTGCAATTTAAGGGGTTTTGGGGTTTTGGGGTTTTGGGG